ATTAAATAAGAAAATAAAAACCTGCATTTAAATGGATTACAATCTGTATATTTCCCCAAATGGCTTGGCTTCTGATATAGGGAGTATTACTGATATTTACAGCTCTACAAATTGAGGAGCTTCTTATCACAATTTGCGCCAGTTTCCTTATCTGTATTTTGAGTTAGCCAGCATTTTCAACTATTTGTGGCATTTTGTGATGATCAACTGTTTCTATATTGGCATAAATATGTTGCAACATATCGGAGAGAATCTATAACATTTAAGTTAATCTTATGTAAGGTCACTTAAAAGACACTGAATTTGGTTTCTACCCCTTCCTATGGGTGGCAGAGATCTTGTTATAAAAACAACAAACTGGAATCTGGAAACAGATCAGAATTTCAAAATGGGAAGGCTGCACAAATATGTATTCACAAATTTTCCTATGGGTGGCAGAGATCTTGTTATAAAAACAACAAACTGGAATCTGGAAACAGATCAGAATTTCAAAATGGGAAGGCTGCACAAATATGTATTCACAAATTTTTAATTGAATGATGTTTTTGTTAATTAGTAGGTCAGTCAGTCAGGCATTTATTACAGCAACAAGCCATAGAACACACATGCTTAAATATAACATTCATATAACTGAATTTAGGACAGTAAAATAAAACTCTATAAAAATACAGTTGAGTGTAATAAAGTAAAAGAAGAACATAAAACAGAGAATTAGTAGGTCAGTACACAGTAGACATGACTACTACACTGTCAAAGCTCCTATATGTTTGCAGCTGGCCTTTTCTGTATGAAGAACCCAAAATTCTAAATTCTACTACGGATGCAACACAGCTTATAGTACTCACATTCCTATCAACAGGTAGAACAAAACCTTTGAAAATCCACTCCCTTTCAATATAGAACAAATTCTATACCCTGCTTTTCTTAAGGACAGTCTTCTCATGCATACTTTATATGTGGGCTTGTAGAAATGGCCATGTCTCCAAATTGCAATATGAGTGTACTAGGAAAAAGGCCCGTTGTGGAAATAAATACAACGGCCTCTAGAAAGAGGCTCTGGGCGGGTGCCCCGGCCTTGGACACTCAGTGTCAATTTGCTGTGGCGACCTCAGCAGGGTATAATGACAGTGAGTCCACCATTTTCTCCAGAGGAACTGATCTCTGCTACTTAAAGAACAGTTGTAATTTTGAGTGATCTCCAGCCCTCACCAGGAGATTGGCAACGATGGTTCCCCAGAAGGGAATGGTTGGTTTGGAGGGTGGAATCTATGGCTTTGTACCTGTCCGAGGTCCCACACCTCCTGAAACCTCACCCTCTCCAGGCTCCATACCTCATATCTCCAGGAATTTCCCACCTGGAGTTGGCAACCCTATCTCCTTCCCAGCCAATCATCAACCTACCTTTATTTCCCCCTCACTCTTCAGCTTTCCACCCCCCAACACACCTGCAGTCTCTCCCGTGCTCTGAAGCCCTGACTGCTACGTCATATTGGCTGTCATACGGGGGCCACCTCAGCAGCATATAAGGATACAGAGCCCACCATTTTCTCCAGGGAACTGATCTCTGCCATCTGGAAAGCAGTTGTAATTCTGAGTGATCTCCAGCCCTCACCTGGAGATTGGACACATTTTACCTCAGAACAGCAAACTGTTTAGAATGTGAGAGGCAAAAGCCAATCAAGTCGCATATGCAAACGACCTCTGTGTTCCGAGGCAAAGGCCAATGAGGCTGCATATGCAAATAACCTCTGTGTTCTGACTGGCTATGGGGGGGAGAGGAACAGCAAACTGTTTAGAATGTTGGAGGCAAGACTCAAGCAATGCAGCCAGTGGATAGGGACAGGTTGACACACCAGGGTGCCAACCAATTCCAGAGCGTGTGGAATGTTCTAGAGAAGTGCCACCACCATTCGGCTTTTATTTATAAGGGAGATTGGCCTCTGTTTTCTGAAGTCACAAGAGGTAAATAAGACCTGTGTGCATGGTTTGCAATTTAGAGAAGGCATATATGTATTTTGTAGCTTACAAAATGGTGCACGCAAAGCTACCCTATGATGCTGCATTGCTGATGGACATATTGATGTAATATTGTCTAGCTGTGTTAATTACAAGCAACATGACATACCATCTCTTAACGATGACCAATTTTGACACAGTTTTAAGAGGACAATTATGCTGGTGTAGTAACATTAACATTGATGGTTATTGCCTTCAAACACATTTGTATATGTCTACAGGGTAAAAGCATCTAAGAGCTACAGCAGTCCCTTTTTACATCAGTGCCTCCACTTCCAAAGCATCAGTCTTGCACCAGTAACTCACCAACTGTTTGGACAAAATAGAAAACGTCAGGAGCAGCCTTCCTGAAGGAAAGAAGCGTGTTCACCTTTCATTTTGCCCTTTAAAAATGGGAATGATGGGTTCCAAATAAGGGGCATCCAGAAAATAAAAGAACATTTTAAAAGCCGCAGCATTATTTTTGGAAAACGAGCCTTGCTTGTGTTCAGCAATTATGAGAGAGTACATAATGCTAGGAAAAGTTGAAGGCAGCATGAAAAGTTGAAGATGAGATGGATTGACTCTATAAAAGAAGTCACGGCCCTCACTTTGCAAGACATGAGCAAGAGGCTGTTAACAATAGGATGTTTTGGAGGACATTAATTCATAGGGTCATCAAATGTCAGAAGCGACTTGATGGCACTTAACACAAACACACACACAAACATGTATGCACTCATGTACAGACATGCTGGAAAGATCAAAGCATTTCTGGACAAAAGTACTCCCAAAGCACAATACTGTGTAGCCCTGGAGGAACAGTCCTTGTCATCTGTGATGTCACAGACATTCTCCAGTAGGAGCTGAAGCACATAACCACTTCATACACAGCAATCTCAAGACTCTTAACAGCTTTTAAAAGACTTCTGTTCCTGTTGCACCCTCCCCCCCAAAAGGCAAATATCTGTATGACATCGAAAAATTGTTCTCCCCTTCTAGAACATGAATCATTACTGGGCAACAGGTTCATAAATATGAGGAAAGGAACATAATCACAAATGACACTTCAGAACGAAGTAGTTCAGTGCATAATTATTTATATTTATGTATTTATTTATTTGATCAGTCACCCCACAAGGCGCCCGGCACCACTGTTCCATTTCTGTATACTAACCTTGAAAACAAAAATAGTAGCAGTAAGCCCTCTAAACTCTATCAGATGTGCTTACAAGGAAACACAGAAGGATAAGATGTACACAGCATTGCTAGCATTATTTCTGAAAATACACTTGTACTGTTTGAAGATTACTTCTTCGTGCACCTTGAGCCAACTTTTAAAAAGGCAGCTCCAGAAGCAGGCCTAACAGTGCAATTTGCTCCACTGTAAGTCTCACACAACTTACCATATATTTTGAATCTGCAGTCACATCCATGTGATTCTCGTAAGCACACACACACACACACTCACATTCACACGCACACATTTAGGAGACTTACACTGCAATCCTAAGAACACTTTCTTTGGCGTAAGCCCCATTAAATAGACCTGAGTAGGATTCTGAGTAGACCTGCTTTGGATTCCTCTAAAGATAGTAGTGCTATCCTAAGCAGAGTTACAACTTTCTAAGTCCATTTGTAATTCTGGTTAGGATGGCCCTTGTATGTCATTTAAACTGCATTACCCTACATGAAACATTAATACAACACTGGTAGCAAAAGCTAGACTTTTATGTAGAAAAAGCAAAATAAGAGGAATTACATAGCAAATCTAAGAGATCCAGACAATCTGATCTGCAAGTTTAAATATATAGCTTGCGTTCTGCCAAGCCTATTAAAATACAGAAAAGAGGATTTCAATTTATACTGTTATGTAACTAATATCCCACCCTATGATCTTAATTCTTTTTAAAAGCCACATGCAGTAATTTCTGTGTTAAAACACAGGAACCGTCTGTTTTAAACGGGATGGCATTGTTACAGTGAAAGTCACACATCAGAAAAACCCTGAATTGCCTTATCCATCTAAGAATCAATAAAGGGATGCAAGACACGATAGCACTTCCCCCTTCCTTTGATTACAAAAGTTCCAAGTCTTAGCACTTAGTCAGAAAACTTTCCCATTTGCTTTTCTCCACCACATTTAATTCCCACCCCACTTTTTCACTCCACTGAAGCTATTCCTGGCAACCACACAGCCCCATATGTTGCTGTTGGCAGCCCAAGCAAGTCCACAGCTGCTACGTTCTTGTGCCTCCCAAAGATTTCACCTGCAAAGCCTCTGCTGCTTTCATCCTGGATCCTCGTCGCTTCATTCGATGGCTAGCGCAGCAACTCCTCCTACAGCTGAGAAGGCCGGCAAACCCGTCCCTTCCCTCAACCAGCTGTAGCTGCGACTGCTGCCGCCGGGACCGGCCAGAAGGGGCTGCAGGGGCAGCAGTGTGGAAAGTATGCTTCAGCATAACTCAGAACAAAACACTTCAGTAAGGCATCCTGAAATCACTCAAGCCCTAACCAGTGGCACACTGTCAAAGCCAGCCTGAAAGCGTTTCCCCTCACTGCTTTTCCATGTCAGCAAAGGAGAGCATCACAGTGTGCACGGAGTTTCCTGGTACTAGCTGTTAAATGAAATACTGCTAGGGCAGGGGAGAGCAAGGGCATCTTGATAAAATTACAAAAACACACCAAGGTTTAAGGAAACTTTAACAGAAGAGTAAACAAAATACAGAAAGAGAGAACAAAAGAAGGGAAGCGCAAAGAAAACTACAATTCTGCTGAAAACTCTACAATGGAAATATTTTTTTCTTTTTTAAAATTACAAAGCCCCCAATTATACACCATCAATCTTCCCCTTTCCAGCATTACATTTGCGTCCCCCAAATACACACAATCTACTCCACATTATATAAGTCCAGAAGAATGTGGAAAAATACCCTGTTGCCAACAATCAATTCATTGTATGAACTTGTGTGCACACACACACACACACACTCAGCATTTCCTACCGTTCTAATTGCAGTCGGGATTCCTGATTCATCAACTGGGCCAATCCCTGAATAATGTGGAGCTTTAATGACTGTGACTTTCTTTTCTTCCTCAGAAGTTCTACTGATTGGTATTGTACTGGTGGTGCTGCTGCCGCCAAGAGAATGAGCATGCTGTGTGTAGGTCTCCGTGGATTCTACAAAGATAATGCCAACAGAATGCTGTGTAACCATTTAATTAGCACGCTTAAGCCCGGGTATTGTATCATGCACTTTCCAAGTCCCATGGGAACATACGTAGCAAATAGGTACATGCTTTCGAAATGCTTCACAATATTTGACATAAAATGACATCTAGCATTTTGCTCTGAAAGGAGGAGGAATTTAGTGTGCTAACCTCTGTTGCTGAGCTCAGAATCCAACAGAAATATTTTTTTTCCCCCTTAGCAAATGGCAGGGAAATGGGAAAGGTGGAATGCCTGTCGATTAATTTATTTCGAGGCAGAGCTGGGAACTAAGAAAGAGGCAGATCCCTGCCCGCAAGCACAAACAGCATAAGGCATTGATGGGAAAGGAGGAGGGAGGAGAGCAGAAAACAGAAGAAGATCACTCATGGAAAGGCAAAGAAAAGCGTTGATCTGGAGGGGATGTTCGAAAGGAGGGTATGGAGAGTGGGAGTTCAATAAGGAGGGACCAAGGAGAAAGAAGGACATTTCAGAGGAATAAAATTTCAACATCATCACCTTGATTTTTAAGACAAGCCTCAAGAAGTACAACTGCTGCCACATTTACGGTAAGTGGTCTTTTTTTGCTAGCAACCCACTCCACAACATTATGGAAGATCCAGACTGAAATACCTGATCACTAAAGAGGCTATGCACAAGTCAGCATTACCCCCAGCCCCGTAGCTAAGGACTTGTTAGGAAGGGGGCCGGGGGGGGCGCCTGCCAATCCAATCAAAGGCTCCAGGGCAAGGGCTGCAGCAGTCACAGCCTCCGGGTCCAGCTCCCCCCCCCAAGGAGCCCCAGTGCCTCTTCCCGCGGCACAGCACCAGGGACAGCCTCTAAAATCACTGCCCTTGTCTTCCCTGCCAACAGGCAATCAGGGGGAGTTGGGGTAGGGGAGCCGAGGCTCAGAAAGGGCCCCCACAAAAACTGCTAGGGGGCCAGGCGGCGTGGGCCCCGCGTTAGCTACGGGCCTGATTCCCCCCCAATGCTGTTGTGTGGATTAAATGGGCGATGTGAGCCCAGCTCTCTGCAGATGTAGTATGAGTTCCCCTAGCTCTTTTTCTATGAAACGACCCCTGGAAATACCTGATCACTAAAGAGGCTATGCACAAGTCAGCATTACCCCCCTCCCCAATGCTGTTGTGTGGATTAAATGGGCGATGTGAGCCCAGCTCTCTGCAGATCTAGTCCAAAGCTCTTATTGCTACATTACTGGCTCTCCTTCCAATCTGCAGCATGTCTGTAAGGTCTCTTGCAGAGGTCTTCCCCAGCTCCTCTACTCAAGATCCGATTAGCTGGAGGTGCTGGGGACTGAACCCAAGACCCTTATGCATGGCAGAGCAGGTGCCCTATCCAGAATTACTGCCCCTCCCCATGACCAGTTGGATCAAATGCAAATAGGGATGTGCAACCAGAACCACATCTACATCCAACCTGGCTATATTTGTCATTGGATTTGTTTTCCTGGATTGGAGCAAACATATCTTGGCCCTCTAAATAGGACAATCCCAGTTTCAAATCACAGTTTGTGAGGAAGGATTAGCCTCCAGTTTGCTTAGGGACCTGCATTCAGATGTCATATCGAACTGGAGTGCGACTGATGTCTTCAAAATCCAGAATGTTTTCAGTAGTATTTCTCATGTGCCAGGATGAGGTGGGAGGGGAGAGAAAGCATGGGAAATGGCTGTGTTCATGCCCATCATGGACAATCAGTGGTTTACTATGATTTACGCAGTCCAAATTTTGAATAAGTTACTCAAGCTAAAAGGTTTCTACCTGTTGCCTAAATCTGTCTGAAGAACAGCTTTCCTGGAAAAACATAATCCACTGCTGGGGTACCACCACTGAGAAGGCACTGCCCTAAGCACTACGAGATCTTAATAGCCTGCAGATTACAAAGTATGAAGGGAAACATATGGTGTAAAATGTTCATGAAGATATGATGGACTGAAACCCTTTTGGTCTCGATATAACAATCACACTTAAACTGGTTGGAAGATAATGAAAGCTAGTGCTTCTGAACAAGAGCTGGCTTGATATCTGTATACTATAAGCAACATGTGGCCCCCATCTGCGGATACCTAAATTTGCGGATTGGGGCCGCATGGACTGTAAAAAGATTTTTCGGCCAACTTGGGGGACTCCCCAGGTTTGCAGACAGATCTGTAATGTTAAAAAAATACATGGGCCTTAAAAAAAACAAACACCCTGCAAAGTAAAATAGCATCCTCTGTGCAAGTGCAGAGAATGTTCTTTCCTGCCTGCCTCTGTGTGGTGGACCCCAGGAGCCACAGTGGGCTCAGTGATGGTGGTGACCTTAGCAAAGTGGCCCAGGGGCTGAACCGGAAGGTGGCTGCTGGAGAGCCCAGAGGCTGAGGTGGTGGCTGTGCCTGGTGGCGGCTGCCGGAAAACCTGGGGGCTGCAGTGGCAGCCAAGCAGCCTGGGATCCGCACTGAGCCCAACCGTGGCTGCTGGACAGCCCAGTGGCTGAGCTGAGCCCTGTGGCGGTGTTGGACAGCCCAGGGGACGTGCTGGGCTGGGTGGAAGCGGGTGGAGAGCCCAAGGGCCCATGCCAGTCTTGGCAAGAAACTTGGGATTCCCCACCTGCGAGTCTCATGTACATCACTGATTCCCATCGGAAAGTGGGAAGCATAACTTTGAAGCTCTGAACTGTATTCAATGATAGCCTCACATGTGGAATCTGTGGGAACTGAACAAGGACATTTATATAATTTTATTTATTTAAAACATTCTATGCCACCTTTCTACCCCAATAGGGCCTAGTAAAACTACAATTACTGAAACTCTTAATGGGTTTCTTAAAAGTTCTGTTGCTTTCTAAGGACCACTGTTTTAACTTAACCACTCTACAACGATGCCTGTAATCAGGAACATGCAGAGATTTATATGATAACCACCAGAGTGTGAGGATTTGGTAAATTTGCTTAGTCACCACAGACAATGTTTGTTACTTACCTTTCATATACCAGAATATTAGAATAAGACATAAAGCTGTGAACTTTTTAAAAGGAGATAATCATTTCCTGCGAATGCCAAGAAATGTCCACATTAGTGATATATATGTGGTACTGTCTCCCTGATAGTTTTAAAGGAATTTGTATGTGTCATCCACTCCATCCCTTGTTTGTTTAAATTTAGAAGTCTATACTGTCTCCCTGATGGTTTTAAAAGAATTTGTATGTGTCATCCACTCCATCCCTTGTTTGTTTAAATTTAGAAGTCTAAAAATAATTTAGCACTAAACATATATGGTAAGGTGCACTGGTGTATATAAAATAGCTGTCCAAATTTGTCCAAATAAGCACAATATGAAACTTCAGGGGGGGGGGGGAAGTACAATCGAACAGGGCCAAAAATAATTTGCCAGGATCAATGGATATCTAGTATGAATGTCTTTCATTTCCTTATGAAGATTTAGAAGTTTACTATTACATTTCCAAATCTGCTAGTCTGCATTGTATAACAAAACTTTTCAGAACTAGAAATATACACTAAAATTGTAAAAGCTGATAAAAACTATACACACTGATTTTTCATAACTTACTGCATTTTTCTACTTTCGTTATTCCATTCTTTTTTACAGTGTTTGTGACATATCATTACTGATTTTTAAAAATCTTTTCTAGTTTTCTAATCTTAGTCCTATTGAATTTTTTGTTGCATGTCTCCTGCTCTTTGACTGCAATGTGTTACACTGTTTAATCCACCTGGAGTCTCAGCGAGAAAGGTGGGCAGCTATAAATGAAGTAAATCAAAATCAAATCAACACAGTTGTTACTGCATTAAAATACTGGTAGACAAGGAGTTCCCTCATGATAAGGGTGTAAATTACCACCACAACTGTGATCAGAAAGGAATTTTGCCATGAGATTTGTTGGTAAACCTGAATGACTTTTCCATAATGTTTGGCTTGGCTTGCTTGCTAGAGTTATCACAGGCAAGCAACATAAGGTGGGTAGCCCGTAATGGTCTTCTCTTTTAAAAAAAGGGGGGGGGGACTCTTCTGCCCACATTAAGAAAAAGGGCTTACAGTTGATTTTCAGTAAGTCAAGGCCAAAGGTCCTATGTAGTCCCTGCAATCAAGAACCTTCTGTTCTGGAAGGTTAAAACGTGGGATCTTACGGTTATGAAGATCTCTTTAATGGTTAACCCTACAGATTCAGATTCTAAGTTATCTCATTTTTATGGACAAGTGGATGCCTCTCATTTCTTATTTGGAAGGAATGAAATGTCATAAAGGTGGGGAGATCCCCTCCAAATATTGCTTCCTTTTTGTTCGATTGCATGAAATCTATATCTCTTGTAATAGTGTATTGTATTTTGTTTGTTTTAATGAGCAAAATTTGTTTTTTAAATGAACCCTCTGTTCTGAAGGCATCTTTAGCATTCTTCACGTGATTCAGGGCTTTCGTTGGAGAAGGGTGTTCAATCAATACAACGGTGTTTGGATTTTCCTCAAGGCACCCCTGTGGACTGCACCATCCTTATTAAGATGGTATGCTTCATGCTTTGCTATCTGTGCAAGATCAGTTGTAGTCACTATTCAACAAGTGATGAAGTTTCCTTTTTTAAAAAAGCATAAACTTTATGTGGGGAAACTCACCCATCGTCCTACTATGCTGTAGGACAACTGTGCTTGAATTGAGTGAAGTTGGTGGACAGTATGCCAAGGAAGGGGAGAAAGGCCTTTGAAAGTGACTCATTGGGCTGACAGCTGCACTAGAGGTCCCGTTCACTGTTATCTGAGCCTTAGGATCAAAGACAAACAAAGTATCCTGTTAAATTAAGAATTGCCAGAATCTGTCAACATACAAAAATAAAGTCACCTTCATAACAATAACCAGTTCTCAGCTACTTAGTAACAACAGGATCTCTATTCACACCTACCTAACCTCTTTTCCTTTCCAGATAAAATGTAACATGCTGGAATCATGGGAAGGCATATGGCAGTCATCAGTAAAGGCAGCAATTGTATAAATGCAGAACCCCCCCTCCCCCAAGATGGCTGTTGTTCTCCCGGTTTTTTCTTGGAAGTTGTATTTCTTTTCTTGCACTCCACGTTAACTCCTGTTGCCGTTCAAGTAAAGAAAAGCAAAGATGACTATACCCACTGGAGATGCTGAAATCTACCTGAAGGGTTGCAGCCCACATGTAGGGGCAAACCACAGGGTCATTGTCAAGTTCAACCCACATTTTTAACAATTCCTGCCTTTCCTTTTGCAAAATTAAAATGAATGCTAACTTCTCAGGTATGCCTTCTTCAGGTATGCCTTGATGCAATGCATTTTCCAGCTTAGACTACCATTTTGCAAAATCTGAACAAATAATGAACACTGGAAAGCTTTTTTATAAACCAATGGGAACAGATCTAGAAAGAAATCTATGTGATACACCTGTTTAATTTTTTCCCCTGGCACTTCTAAGTTCATGACGCATCTGGACCTGTATACTTCTACATGGTAAAAAAGGAACATGGCAGTTTTCCAATCCTAAACACGTTTACTCAAGAGCATCAGCAAGTTGAACAGGAACTCTTATATTGTGGCAAGTATTTTTAGGATTTGCATTTTATATTTGTTAGGTTGGTTTGAAAACTTTCTGAAAATTAATACCACCATATTTTTATATCTTAGGCTGTGGGATAAATGAGTTAAAATTATTTTTCCTTAACTGTTCTAGACCTGAATAACATTTTGTAATGACCTGTTAAATATTGGACATATTCTAGCTCACACCCTGTTCTTAAGCACTAAATAGGCCTTTTTGCTTGAGATGAAGAGAAACTTTTCATAAACAAGTTGGTTCCCCCTCCCCACATATATATAATCAAATACATTACTTCCTGGACTACTGAATTGTTCATTAAATATTTTATTTATCTATTTGTAGTCACTGCCTTTGAATTACTCTAAACAAAATGCAGTCCTGGAAAAAAATAATTCCATGTCTGTAGAAAGTTAATGTAAGATTATTCACACTCTCATTCCTGTAAAACAAAAGTGCTTAAAGGGGGAACTGTTAGTTAGAGAAAGAGCTAAATCAGAAGCGACCTCATGCAGTCAGTGATCACAGCTAATGGAAGACAAAGTTGTGTTAAGTGCTCATCAAATCCATTAAAATTCAACTTAGAGGCACATTCTACTTCTCTTGCAGATTTCTCAGTACTTTTTGACAGGTTTTGCAGTTTCTCTTGCACATTCCGCATGAGCAGTCTTTCTGTAGGAACATTTATCAAGCATTTTAAGTAGTTCTGCTTACAATCCATACACCACTTCTATTTACCACAATGGCACTGAAGAATCACTGCAGGGTTCCTTTCTGGCTTCATTTCAGCTGTGGAGCAAAGCCCTAGGAGCCTGTTTCAAGGCCCTAGAATACATGTAGTTGTATTAAACAAGAGATCATCTCTTGAATGTGCACAACCTGCCTCTCCTTCACCCTTACAGTCAGTTTGAACACATGAATCTGCCTTATATTTAATCAAGCCCTTTGTCCATCAAGGTCTGTATTGTTTACTCAGACTTGCACTGGGTCTCCAAGTCTTTCACACTACCCACCACCTGATCCTTTTAACTGGAGATGTAGAGGACTGAACATAGTACCTCCTGCATGCCAAGCAGATGGCCCCTCCCTGAATTCCATGATAACTGGCACTGCCAACTTCAGGTTGGAAAATTCCTGGAGATATGGGGGTTGAACCTGGAAACGGTAGGGGTTGGGGACAGGAGGGACTTCCACAGGATATACAGTCCACTCTTCAAAGCAGCCATTATTTTCAGGAGAACTGATCTCTATAGTCTGGAGATCAGTTATAATTCCAGGTGATCTCAAGGATCCACCTACAGGCTGGCAATCCTAGTTTCAATGCAAGAGTGTAACAAACCAATCAAGAAGTATATATGCCTAGCTGCATTCTATCAATCAGTCCCATTACTATGGACAAAAATACCAAATTTGTGTTTCCTCCCACCTGAGATGCATTTGCTGCCGAAGCAAGGACAGCTTATTATATGTTGTGTTTTGGGTGAGAAGATATTGTTGAGGAACAGGAAGTATATTTCCTGTTCGCTCACCAACACTGCCAGGTCCAAATTTATCTGTTTCCACAAAGTGATGGAATTCACGGTCCAAGTCCTCCAGCGGGAGATGGTGTTCAGGCTGATTTGAACAATGGCACCTCTCTTCCTTGAAATTAAAACCCTGTCCTCATATATTGTTCAATATACATCACCCGAATATACATAGTGCAAAATAACACAACTTTACATTTCAGGTATATTATGCTAGTTATGAAGCTTACAATTTTTGTGTTTTTTAAAAAATCACCTTACAGAATCTGAGTAATCATTTATGAGCACATTTATTTAAAAGTATATGGGTGGGAAAGAATGAGGTTATCCCCCCCACACACACACTTTGGAAGCCTGATTGAACAAAATGGAGGAGGAAAGAGGAAGGATAATTACATGAGAGCCGGTAGCAGTGGTGGTTAAGGTGGTGCCATCTGACACGGCAGACATCTGGCTCAAAGTTGGGGAAGGTGTTTCAGAACGGTCAGTAGTATCATAGTGACAACTCTGCAGCTCATCTAGAATGGCAGTGGAGGACTCGCTCACCGTGCGAGAGGAATACTCGCTCATGGCTGAGTCTGTCATGACAGAGGCCGTTTCAATCCTGTGGATAATATTGTCAGGAGCTAAGAAAGGGTACGCATATGAAAAACGTGAAAGGGCCAGGGTTCTATAAAAGCGTGAAGGCCAAAAATCATCATGTGTTGGCAAAACAAATGATGTTACGTGGGTGTCACTGTCGGGTGAGAGAGAGGGTCTGTTAATCGACACCAGAGGAGGAGGAGGAGGAGGCAGTGGTGAAGCTTTGGCTGAAGTTTGTCTGTGGGTCTGTGAAGCATTTACCTCCATCACATTGGCAGTTACTTTCTGGTTTCCAAGCTGAGTTTTGAGAAACAAACAAAAAATGAGAAAACATATTACTAAATTTAATTTAAAAAACCCCTTTTCCTTACCCCTTTACTGTGTGCAGGAATATAAGGAAACACACACACACACATTTTCTAGCAGTCTAAGGATGTTTACAGACAGATTAGGAAAGAAACAAACTTTGTATTACAAAAGAAAACAAAGTAAGTTAATTTATCAAGTACTAATAGAAGCAATGCCAGAAACTGCAGTGTGTTGGAATAAACATTCATGTTGGTTTCCAAGACTTGAATTGTTTGAGATTTTGTCCAAATTAAGCGCCTATAATGCATATTAGAGTTTGATTTTTAAATCACAAAACTTCACCTGCCAGTTTGGCACAAATGAACCTGATCTTCAAATTACTCCATTGTCTATACCTTCCATGGAAGTAAGAAGAGTATTTTGTCTTTTTGGCAGAAAGATTTCCAGTCCTTCACTCTAAAATTACTAAACTTGTAATCTGATACACACTTAAATAAGAATAAGCCCCATCGAACTTAGTGGGATTTCGGACAGAAAATGTGTAGGATTCTGCTGCATGTACACACAACGTAAAGGGACATGACTCTTAGAAACTGGAAGACAAGAAGGACTGAGGTAGAGAAGTGTTACTGAAGCTGTTGAAATGCCCAAGTTATTCTGAAAATACTACCAACTGAACAAGAGACAACTTAATGGAAGTGGCAGGCATCTTTAGGGACAATCAGTGCATTCACCAATTATCCATAGAACAAGAGATTTTTAAAATGTGTATGACTGCTCCATGTCACTTCTTCCTCCATTTTTTTTTTGTACATCAACTGATCTAACACTGTCTGAGCTATGAAGAAAGGAAGGCAGGATAGATGAGGCTCTATTTTTCTGCCCATCACTCTTGTACTAGGTTTGATGTGCATGAGAAACATCTTCCTGATTAGCCTAGGATACTGGAGGCAGCTGGGAGTCTGGGACTTCTGCCTCATCATACCAGTATCCAGCAGTTTCCTGCATTTATGTTATTTTATGGTAGGAGAGTGGACTGGAGAAAGCTCTGGAAATTGGTCCTAGAAGGGATGTGAGAATAAAGTAAGTTCACAATGAAGAGTCCTCAGAATCCTAATTAGGGGACAATTAAGATGGTCCGTTCCAAGAGTTTGATGACTCCAGATGTTTCTTGGGGGGTTCTAGGTCAGCAAGTTTGGCGCAGCCCTGGTTGACCTGTGAAATATGAAGATGACTGCGGCTGTGAGCATGATTGCCCTTGAGCGCCCTCTTTCCTTCCATGTAGTCTAGAATGCCCTTGGTCTTCTGAGGAACTTTGGATGATGAAGCGGTTGGGCAGATGGTTAGAGCACAAGTGGACAAAAAATCAAGGTGAATGTGACTGATAACAGGAGAAAGCGCCTACTCTGAGGCAGTGACAGCAGCAAAGTGGGCTCAGTTTTCTGCCACCATTGTGTCGATGCTGTCCAGTGGAGTTTTTCCAGGTTGTGAGGGATCTGTTATCTGAAGCCTCAGAGGATGTTGGCTTGGAGAACATACACACCCACTGTGATTCCTTTGCAATGCATTTTGCAGGTAAAATTGCCTGCATCTGTCACAGCTTAGATACCACAGTTGGACTGGTTCAGTCTCAGGATATTATTGGAGCATAGTCTGGTCTTAGTTGTATGGATAACTATCAGTTGGTGAGGCCTGATGGAGTGAACGAGGTGCTTCAAAGTGTGCATCCCACCACAGTGGTCTTGACCCTCATGCCTAATTGTGTCATGCTGGGCTGAGTTAGTAGA